AGGGTTTAGGATTTAGGGTTTCTACTTATGCAGTCCTGGGGCGGAGATGCGGCTGGAGGTTCCACATGGGGCTGGCAGTGCTTGAGCTACCCTTATTGGAGTCCAGATGGGTGGGTGGGTGGGTGGGTGGAGGTGGGTGGAGGTGGAGGTGGGTGGGTAGGGGTGGGTGGGTAGGTGGGCGGGCGGGTGGGTGGGTGGGGTGGGGTGGGTGGTTTGGGTGCGATGGTTCAGGATCTAGGCTTTGGAGGCGTGGCGTGGCATGTTGTTTTAGCTGCATGGCTGCTTCCGCTCCGAGGAGTTGTGGCGACCCTTGCAACAACGACGGCAAAACCAATCCTAATATTCATAATGCTCTTACGAGTTATCATCGTCGCGACAGTAGTCAATTGTAGCAAGGGCTTTTGACATGGAAGCCTTGGCTTAGTCTCATGACCGCTATCAGTGTAGCGGCAATGCATGGCTTGTCGTCGTCAAAGCCACAGGGTCCAAGTATCAATATAGTAGCTACTTCACGGAAAAAGGGCTCCCGAAGTATCTACCACAATATCTTGGAACCCCTAAACCCTAAACCCTAAACCATAAGACGTTCTTTGAACCCTTCAAGAAAGCACCCTGCGCCAGCCATTTTCAAGAAGACTGTATTGAGGATTCCAAGCCCGAGGCGCAAGGCCGCCTAGGCCCTACCTGGACCCTCTAAAACCTACCTTTTTAAAGGATCCTTATCATGATTTCTGTGTATACGTCCTTGAAAAGATAGGTTTTTGGGGGTCAACCTATTTTCAACCCTAAACCTATAGGCCATAAACACTTTGGTGTAACTGCTCCTGCGCCTTCAAGGAGCAAGACCACCAATACCATCGCAACCAGCAGCTTCAGGCCATTTGTACACTACTGGCAGGTCTTTGCGCAGCACGCATGATGGAACTACGTGCTGCATACCTCACCTTATAAGGTCCTTTAATTAAGCACTTTCAAACATGACTGTAGCATGCAGAAACGTCCACAGTGGTCTGAGCTCTAGCATTACGACATTGCAAGTCAAGTGCCCATCGCAAGCATACCCTGATTTCTAGATGGGTTAACTTGCAATGCTTGCAGAATGCCGTCGTCTTGGTCTAATTGGGAGGCCGAAGAACCCTATTCTAATTATTACGGCTTCTGAGTTACTTCGATTTCGTGGTTCTGATGACTGATGATCGGAGAGAGGTCCTTGCCTGGGGGCATAGGGGCTATTGCTGATCCCATGTCTTCAGTCTGTATGGGTCTAGTACGTAATATTATTCTAATACAATACTATTACAATAGAACAAATGATATATTATACTCTAATACAGTAGTCTCTTTCAGTCCCGTGCCTACTTGGTGCTCGCAACAGCGTTTTCCATCTCAAGCCGAGTCGTTGTCTGAACCCCTTAGACTTTGGAAGGTCGTAGATTTTCATGGCAGTGCTTCTCTCCATCCTGTGCAGCTTTTGCGTGATCAGGACAGAGCCGACGTACCGCATCCCCAAAGGGTCCAAGTTATGGAATAGTATATACTTTGGGGGCCCACATACCTACAAAGTAGCTATCATATCGGTACTTGGACCCTTTGGGATCCCGACACCCTAAACCCTAAACCCTAAACCCTAAACCCTCAACCCTAAACCCTAAACCCTAACTTTCATACTTTCAGGGTCCGTGGCAGCAGGACGGTGACGGCTGCCAGACGAGAATCTCCTCGGCTCCAGGGTCTACGGCTGAGACCGCTGCCTGCGAGCACGTGCACTTGTGCAAAGCAGGTGCATTTGAGTTTAGGGTTTAGGGTTTAGGGTTTAGGGTTTAGTCTTCTGCTCTGCACACTGAGAACCCGACTTCGCGATCAAGCCGGGGTACAAGTGCGGGCTGCAGAAAAAGGCGTGGTGCACCCCGCCGGCAG